AAAGTTTAATTCTGGGTATAAGCTTCCCTGTGCGTGCACATTCCTTCACATATATTGAAGCAGTTTTCCTCAAGCCTTACATTTAGGTAAAGAGGGGGTGGGGTTGGTTGCCAGGAAGGGCTAGTTAGGGTCAAGATGCATAAGTAACTGGGTGATAAGTATAGCTGTGATTGGATTAAAGCAGTTGGTAGAATCTGTGAATGGCAGCAAATTAGCATATAAATACAAGAGTTAACAAACAGATGTGAGAACCTACATTTGGGTCTAGTCGCACAATTATTGCCCAATTACTTATGCATCTTGACTCTAACTAGCCCTTCCTAGTGGCAACTATATATATCCCCCCCCCCCATCTACCTATATGTAAGGTTTGAGGAAAACAGTTCCAATGTATCTGATGAAGCGTGCATGCACAGGAAAGCTTATACCCAGAATTAAACTTTGTTGGTCCTAAAGGTGCCACTAGAATCAATTTTGTTCTATTTCTGCAGACCAACATGGCTAACCACTTGAATCAGTACTTATTTTGTTTTGATTTGCATATTTCAATTACTTTGGGGAGTTTTGAGAATTCAGAATAACTGGCAAAGGCTGTAGTAGTATATAAGAAAAAGGGGAAGGTGTTCAGAATTCATTTGAGACAGAAGTTGTAATATCAAGTGATGGGGACAGGAACTACGGAAACACAAGACGTTTTTCTCGGCTGATTTCCATCCCTGTTTTTAAACTGATTTCACACGCCATTAGACAGTTTACAGCCTCTCCCTTTCTCTGTTGGTATGTGAAGGATCGGAAACACATTTATAACAAGTTTTTAAAATCAATAGATGGCCACATATCTATTAAGATTTTCAGTCTCATTTCATATGTGTGTGTCCGATGTATTGTATCTAAACTCGATTTTAGTTCTCCATCACGACACAGGTGCCCAGACCTGGATGGTCCAGGGTAGACCAATCTCATTAGATCTCAGAAGCTAAGCAGGATTGGCCTTCGTTGGTATTTGGATGGGAGACCAGTCCAGGGCTCTTTCTGTAGCAGGAACTCCTTTGCATATTAGGCGACACACCCCTCATGTAGCCAATCCTCCAAAAGCTTACAGTAGCCCTTGTAAGAAGAGCTCTGTAAGCTCTTGGAGGATTGGCTACATTAGGGGTGTGTCGCCCAGATGCAAAGGAGTTCCTGCTACAGAAAGAGCCCTGGAGACCGCCAAGGAGGTCCAGAGTTATCATGTGGAGGAAGGCAATGGCAAACTACCTCAGAACATTTCTTGCCTACTGGGGTCACCATGTGTCAACTGAGACTTGAGGGCATTTTCCACTACCACCAGTGCTGAGCGCAGCTGAGAATGGCCTTTTCACGTTTTAACTTCTCCTCCCTGTAAGGAAGTGTCTCTCTAGTTACAGGCACAGTGCAGCTACCTTCCCAGGGAACTGCTCCTTTTTCTACCACTGTGGGCTTTTGCCACAGGCGGTTTCCCTCACCTTCCCCCTTTCTCTGGGTTGTGAAACTGACAAAGTCAGGGAAAAAGTCATGTCAATTTCACTGATGATGCAGGTTTCTTTTCTACATCCAGAACTGGCCACCAAGGGCTTGCTGTATCGGGGTGTGTGTGTGTGTGTGAGAAATTGACTACATTTCCTCCTGAATCTGTCAGCCTTACCAGAAAGGAGAGCCCAGCCTATCTTTTTCAGGATCTTCTCAGTTTCCCTTGCAGAGGAGCTGCAGTTAAAGAAAAGGCCAAAGGAAGTGTGAGTAGGCAGACAACACAGAAAGCAGAACTACACGCTCTCTCACCGGCCATGTCACGATGAGATTGCATTAGAATCAATTGGTCCGAGCCACCATCCAGGGTAGACAAGTGTGTGTGTGTGTGTTTATCTGTGCTGAGTGTCTTCTCCACGAGGGAGAAGGGGTGTGATGGCACTTAGAAAGCAGAAAAGGCATAACTTATGAATGCTGGTAATGGAAATTAACTGAAGAACTTGATTTCGTTCTTGGTCACCTGCTGCAGAAACACTCTGAATATTTTTAATAGCAAGTAGCAGTACACATGCTTTATAAATAAATACACTGCACACAATGTGAAACTGTGGTGATCCACCCATACAGCCTGCCTTGCTTTCAAATTTCACTGACTCATAACCATGAGGACTAGAATCCTAATTTGAAGAGAATCCAAGCAAACAAAGAGCCCGTCCTGCAAAGCCTGATGCTGTGCAAATACGGCCTGATAACAGCCTAATGGGGGTCGGTGGAGGGGGGGGAGAGGAGGTGGCATCGCCATTACCACTGCAATCTGTTTTCAGAAGAGAAGGAATACAGGACTATATCACCCGATTTTTCGTTTTTTTTAAAATTTAAACAGATTTTATTAGTTTCATAGAAAGATACTACAAAGTGAAGGAAAGACATAAGATCACCCGATTTTTCAAACTCTTCCTCTTTTTAAATCTCTGAGGTTTGAGCCTTCTTTGCAAACAGTTGACTGTTTGAATCACATAATGCAATACCTGTTCCTCTGGCTTAACGTTACAGCGTTTCTCACCCCGCAGGATTGCTTCACATTCGTCTAAGACGCAGGGCCATTTTCTCTCCCAGTGCTGGCTGGGATGCCTTTGCTCTGGCAAAAAGACACTCCTCCTTCCTTTAATTACATGTTTTGGTTCAAATTGGTGTCCTTTATTCTGGGAATGAGTCACCGCCTTGTAAACAGGTAAATGTGGGAGTCGAGGAGGGGAAAATATATGTTTGGCTCCTCCAGGTGGGTGTCTTTAATTTTCAGGGTATCCGGGTTCATTACCTTCCAAACCTGCTGCCGCCCTCCCAGGTCTCTTACACTTCGCCAAACCCGACAGGTGGAGAATCCACGAGGGCTGCATCTTATTCTCATAGGTCATTGGCATTCACTAAGAAAACAGTTTAAAAATATGCTGCCCTCTTTAAGTGCAGACCATGCACCATTGGGGGGGGGGGGAAGAAGTCATGCCAGAGAGGGGTGAGCTTTCTGCACGGGCATGCCTGATGCTGTTTGAGCACCTGACTTTCCAGGAAGAAAAAGAAACCAAATTGTACAGCCAGGTGAAACTCGGATGCTTGGTACAGTTCCTTGGCATAGCCCGATAAGATTCTGCAACTCACCAGCAGCACCAGAGAACCTGTTGTCAATGCCAGGGCACAGCCCAAGAACACAAAAAGTAATAATCAAAGAAGAAAGTTATTTTGGATGTGCATGGAGTGCCTTTCCATCTCCCAGGAGCCCACGCACACGTGGAATTCGGGAGGCCTTCCCAGTTAGAGGGTGTGAGGTCCAGACATGCTCATAAGGTCCCAATGGCTCTCGTTTTTTGTTTTTGTTTTTTAAATGCTAGCCATTTCTCACCACTCGCACTGGCTCACTCAAATAAATATCTGTAGTCTTCTGAGCTCAAGATTTCAAGCTTCTTTATCCCAATCTTGTAATCTCATATGGGGGGGGGGGAATTCCGGGTTTTAATATGGAAAGCACAGAAATCTTGTCAGCCAATTGCTGGACCTTGCCAAGCACACTAAGAATGGTGCTACAAGGCAGCACAGCAAAGTTTCCAGTCCTGGACTGGCACACAGAGAGAATGTACATGGTGTACGAAAATTAAATAACCCAGAACAGACTCTGGTTCTGCACTTGCAATCCCAAGGCAATCCTAAACAGACTTAAACCCTTCTAAATGCACTGAAGTGAATGGGCTTAGACCAGAATAACTGCACTTATGGGTGCACTGCTAGTCTTGTTAGAAACTCTACCCATAAGCAGGTGGCAGGAAGCGTGTTGGGTCAGAATGACAGCATCCATATTCAGCCTCCAGTGCTCAAAGCAGTTTGCAGCAATCCTTACAACAGCCTTGCAGGGGAGGACAGTGTTCTTGTTGACTGGGAGGCTAAAAAGCTGGGCTTGCCTAAAGCCCTCTAGTGAGTTTGCAGCTGAAGTGAGGTTTGGACTGGCAACCTCTCGGCCCCTTCCTTCATGTTTCCCCCCCCCCCCCAAGTTCTACTCTGTTTGCCCCTCCTAGTAAGTCCGGTTTGAGTGGCGGGATCCCATGTGTGTCCTCTACAAAGGAAGTCCCACTGAGTTTGACAGAGAACTAAGCCAACAGCCTTCAGCAGGCAGAATTTACCTGGGAAAAAATGCTGAATAAATTGCTCCTCCTTTTACTTTTCAAAAAGACAACACTCTCTTTAAAAAATACACAAAAAACTATCTCCACGGATCAGATAGCCAGCAAACCTAGCGGCACATGAATACATGAAGCTCCCTTGGCAGTTGCCAAGTTCTTCTCTCAGTCGATTGAGATTCAAAAACATTAAATGTTATGTTCTATTTTGTTGTTGTTCAGTCGCACAGTCGAGTCCGACTCTTCGCGACCCCATGGACCAGATCACGCCAGGCCTTCCGGTCTTCCGACATGTATTCAATAAATTTCCTCCTCTTTTTTTTTCTCCAGGTGACATTGTTCGAAGCCGACTTGGCTGTAAGAGCAGTAGTTCAAAAAAAGTTAAAAAGAAGCTAAAAAGAAGCTGCCCTGTCATGAATCAGACCACCAAGACAAGTATTGCCTGATCAGCCTGACAGTGGCTCTCCAGGATCTCAGGCGAAAGAACCCCGATCGCATGTTCCCAGGGGGAATCGCGATCGATCGCTAGATCGAGAAACGGGCCGCTTGTCGCCCAGCTCCCAGCGAGTCCCTCCTTCTTGACGCGAGTCCAACAACACACACAGCCCCCCGCCGCGCGCCCCCTCCTCTCGGACTGGCGCCTGGCCGGTGTTCCGAATGGCCCCGACCCCGGGCGGCAGGCGCGCGCGCTCTCTCCCTCGCCAGCCCAGCGCTGGAGCCGTTTCCGTGCGCTGCCGCAAGTGTGCAGCGTGTGGCCGGCCGCCAGCCAGTGACGTGCGTGGCCTGTTGCTATGGCATGCACCGCCCCTATAAATAACTGCGCGAAGGAACTTTCCCAAGTCAGAGAGACTTTCGGAGACGGGACGTAGAACCACCAGATGGTCCAGCCGCGTCCCAGCCCAGCCCGAGCGCCCGACTCTCCTCCGCACAGTCCGGCCCCGGGGATCTCGCCGCCGCCGCCCGCCCCCACCCAGCGGGTCTGCTAGCCTCGCTTGGCGAGGGAGCCGAGGACTGCCGAGGAGGAACTGGGGACGCCGCCGCCACCGCCGCCGGCTGCCGCCACCGCTCGGTCCCCAGGCTCGGGAGGGGGGGGGGGAGCCCGGCGCCGCGACTCCCCTGCACCGGGGGCCCCCTTTGCGTTCATGCAACGCCTGGTGGCCTGGGACCCGGCATGTCTCCCCCTCCAGCCCCCGGCCTTTAAATCCATGGAAGTGGCTAATTTCTATTACGAGGCGGACTGTCTGGCTGCTCTGAGTAAGCTGCACCCCCGGGCGGCAGGGGGCCGCTCCATGACCGAGCTCACCGTGGGGGATCACGAGAGAGCCATCGACTTCAGCCCTTACCTGGACCTAACGTCGCAGCAGCAGCAGCAGCAAGCGCAGCAGCAAGCTCAACAGCAAGCGCAGCAGCAACAGCAGCAGCCGCCTTCCTCTGCGGCACCAGGGGGCAACTTTGAGCCGGTTTGCAGCGGCGGCGGGAGCTACAACAGCAGCGGCGGCCAAGATTTTCTCTCGGATCTTTTCTCCGAGCAGGACTATAAAGGCGGCGGGAAGAAGCACCCCGATTACTCTTATATCAGCCTGGCTCGGCACGGCCACCACCCGGCCGTCGGGCAGAGCCACAAGCCCGGCCCGCTGCTGGGCTGCTTCCCGCCGCAGATGGTGGAGACCAAAGTGGAGCCGGTCTTCGAGCACCTGGACTCGTGCAAAGGGCCCCGCAAGGAGGAAGGGGGCGGCGGCGCCGGGCCGGGCCTGGGGGGCATGTCCTCGCCCTACGGCAGCACCGTCCGCTCCTACCTGGGCTACCAGTCCGTGCCCAGCGGCAGCAGCGGCAACCTCTCCACCTCCTCGTCCTCCAGCCCGCCCGGCACCCCCAACCCCTCCGATTCCTCGAAGTCTGCCGCGGCCGGAGGAGTACAAGATCCGGCGGGAGCGGAACAACATCGCCGTGCGCAAGAGCCGCGACAAGGCCAAGTTGCGCAACCTGGAGACGCAGCACAAAGTCTTGGAACTGACGGCCGAGAACGAGAGACTCCAAAAGAAAGTGGAGCAGCTCTCGCGGGAGCTCAGCACCCTCCGGAACTTGTTCAAACAGCTGCCCGAGCCGCTCTTGGCCTCCTCGGGACACTGCTAGCCCCGCTCCCCCGGCTGTGTGCAGCTGGACGACGCTGGAGCAGCCGCTGCGGGGTGGGGACCCGGCGGGGGGGGGGAGGTCGGAAGATAGGGAAGGATTGAGCGGGGTGGGGGTGTGTGCGAGGAAATCTGGGAGTTGCTTTCCCCCCTCTTGGCGGGACAAGATCAGGGACGAGGGAGGAAAGAGGGACAGGCCGAGTGGGAAGAAGGTCCCCATAATCTACTCCCCCCCCCCGGTTTCGTTGCCTTAATTCGCTCTCTGATGTGGGGTGGGGTGGGGGACCAAAACACCTCTTCCGCCGCCACGTTCTGTGCTGCACAACTCCTTCGGCTGGCGGGGGGAGTCTCCTGGCGGTGTCCCTTTTTATTTTCTTTACCTCTGCAAACCACATGAAGGAATTGATTGCTTTTCAGCTTTCAGGTTGGTTTGTTTCCTGGGCGACTGCGATACCAAACGCGATAAGACGCTTAAAAATTCTACGATGTGGTATTTCTGCAAGGAGGGGTGTGTGTGGGGGAGGAGGTTCTTTTATTTTCTCTCTCTTTTTTTTTGCTGAATGCTAGTGTTATTTAAAAGAAGAAGATAGTAGAGAGAGAGAGAGAGCGAGTCCAGAGTGATGCAATCTTTTAAAACATGGCTGAGAAAGCTGGCTACACATGATGCAACCTCATGTAACTGTCAGTCATGGATTGAGTAATCTGTTAAAGATGTTCCTAAAATATTTTTATTATTATTATTATAAATAATGATCTATTTCTATAAGGGAAAAAAAGACATATGTATATTTTGGGATCTATGCATTCTTGCTACGTATGAAGCATTAATGAACAATTTTAATAAAACTTTATTGCTAGGAGGGAAAAAAAAGTGAGAGCTTGTTTCTTTCCTTAGGTTTTACTTTTAAAAGTTGCTTGGGGGGAGGGAACTGCAGTATTTTGAGGTTGGGTACAAGAGGGTAACCCAGCAACATTAAGAGAAATGGGCGTTTTTCCATGCACGTGAAATAGCCTGTGGAGTTTCTCCCAGTGCTTAACTAGATCACTCTGTGATCCACAGATTTGTTCTTTTGGTGTTCTTTGGTCTGTGCTGTGCTCTGTGTGTGTGGAAAAAATGAGACATCCAAAAGATAATCCCCCAGGCTTTCCTGTGCTTTCTCCTTAATTACTTAAACTAGGGATCTGCATGCGAATTGTTACATACCTATGCGTGTGGGAAGGGGGTGGATTTGAAAAACTAGAGAAACAAAATCTGACAGAGTGATCATTTTGACAGGATGGCGTTGACGCCTCGCTCAGTCTGACGGACCAGTGTATCTGATCTTTTTAGTTAATTGTAGTGGAGGGGAAATGAGCAATGAGGGGGGAAAGTAATCATTTTATAATGCACAGGGAGAGTTTTGAATTAGCCTGGTGAGATTTCTTTCACGTTCGAGGCCACACAAGACAGGTGGGAGCAAATCTTAAGAGTTTCTGTTTGACAAACTTCTTCTAAAGAGGAGTGGGCAATCCTGCCGTCTCCACCAGAGGGATTAGATGCCCATGAACCTGAGCTTTTCGGTTTGAAGAAACTCAAGTTTCTGAGTCTCATGGTAGCCCAGAGATGTTAAAACCTCAAAACAGACACTTGAGTAAGTCTTTCAGGCACATTACACTTTTCAAATGGCACTGACTTAAAAAGATGAGTTTCATGCTTTTCAGATACTGGCTTGCACAAAATCCACGTATTCGGAGTGAGATATTGCAGGCTATATGACCCATGGTACCCAGTTTAGCATCCACCATATTAAAGGAAATGAAATGTAAATGGTGTTACTTGTAGGAAACAAAGCCCCAGCCTAAGGCTCATTCTAGGTTTTTATTTGAAAGAAGTTATTTGAAAAAGCGTGTATACACGCGAAAGCTCATACCTTGAATAAACCTTTGTTGGTCTTAAAGGTGCCACTGGACTCTAAATTTGTTTTACTGCTTCAGACCAACATGGCTGACCACCTGGAACAATCTAGGTTTTTAGTGCTGTCTTCCCAGATTTTCAGTGCTGCCTAACCTTTTCCTTCACCTCTAATCATGAATGGCTGATGTGGATATCCTGTGGTTTTACTGTCAAAAGGACTGTAGGCCAAGTGGAAGAGACTGCGTGTGTGAATGCAAGCCAGCAGCCCTGTAGTAAGTAAAAGGGAATGTGCTTGCAGCGGCAGCATGAAGGGTTTCTCAAGGCCTGGAAGCAGAATGTTCCTGGCCTTCCACTGTGTGCTCTTGCGTCTGTGTAGCTTGTAAAATGTTAACAGAGCCAGGAGTTATGTGCGTGGGGAGGGGGGCTGGGGAGCCTCCTCAAGGATCTGGCCTTAGTCAGCATTTTCGTACATGGTCAGTCCCTTTTAAAGCACATCCAACTTTTAAAGCCTCGGAAAAAAAATTCTTTTAACTCTCCCTGGCAGCTAGTGGTAACTCTCAGAAGTTGTTTTGCTTAACAGCGGTTGACTTAAAATTGCTCTAACGTATTTCCCCTTAAGGGAAAGGAAGAGGGATCACCTAATGCTGATGAAACTTTTTTTTTTTTTGCTACCCTCTCAAGAAGAATTATGTTCCGTTTTTAACCTGCAGTGGTTCAGGAAGTCCAGGTGTCAGGGAGCTTGCTTAGGTGTCTTTATATTGCTTTCCAGATTGTGCACAGGTAAGGGAATTTTCTGAAGTGCTATATAGAAAAATGTCAGTGAGAGTCTTTTCATTTGGTTGCATGAGAGCAAGTTCAGGTCAAAGAACACTAGGTATAGTAAGACACTTTGCTATAGAACCCAATTCATCCCTCTGTGAAGTACAATGGAATCTTTTTTTTATACCTCATTTGCTGCCTTAAACTTATTTTGTTCAATGAAAGAAACATATTGCAATCCCTGCCCTATATGACAAACTGTTGTTGTGCATAGCTTACTTGGAGATAATCCCTACTGAACTATCTTAACTTCTGATTAAACATGCCTGTGACCTGGCCGGTAGAATTAGAAAGCACATTTGTATGCATGCAACATTTGGTAACTGGATTGATTTCTACGGGATTCCTGCCTTGAATTCTTCCTAGTATTGATCATTCTTTCTGCTGCTGCAGCTGATCCCTAAAGTTTCTCTTTCCATGCGGATCGCTTAGCAGGATCAGTTCCGTGGGCTTTTAAGACTTGGATTTTGTGAACAGAATCCCCCCCCCCCCGGTGTGATGCAGAGCACAAGCATATTTTTATATCCAGTGGGGCTCTGCTGTTTCAGGGAGTAGGGGGAGAGTCCCTTTTGGTATATGGAAGATTTTGTGCATGCCTAAAGTATTCTGGATTGTGTTGCAGTTCAACATAACTAAAATCAAACAGGGCTAGGGCTGAAAGAGCTCCTTGAGGGGAGGCCTTGGACTTGCCTGTGCATCCCTAGAATAGCGACCCTCCATTACAGGCCTCTTTTGAAGCTACTTTCAAGAAGTCCAAAGGGACCCTTGGGGGGGGGGGGCAGAATACACGCTGGGAGACTTTGCACAGGTTTCTTGTGTTGTTCAAACTATGCTGCATTCAGTACAAAGATTATATGGGTGCTTGGTTAGAACAACGGCACAATATGCACAGGAGCTTTGGATTTTTCGTTACTTGACATGGGTAGCAGCACAGTTTGAATGAAACCTAGAGCCCAGGTAAAGTTGCATGGAGGAGTGCCGTGGTTCACAATTAACGTGGTTCACAACTGTGTGACTTTGGGGAATATTGCTGGTTTCATTTGTGTGTGTGTGTGTGTTCACACGTTGCCTTCTCAATTCCTCTTGTTTCAGAGAAGATAAAATCACTGTTCTTGCCCTCTGTGATATCTTTCATTTAGCTAAAGCACTTCTATTATAAATAGTTACAAAAGATTGATTCCAGAAATTTTTTTTCTTTTTAAAGAGCAAAATCAGTGATGTGGTTTAAGCAAGGTTAATCTCTCCCGTGTTGAGAGACTTAAGGATATACTAAATTCTTACTATAAACTCAATGAGATTTATAAGCGCTTACCTCTGGCTGGTTTGTGGCCTGTATTTCTTAAAATCTTTTGATTTTTTTTTTTTACAGAATGAAAAATATCAAGGTCTTGACACTTAACAGTCCATTCTAAAAAAATTGTATATTGTTTAGTGTTTACAACAGAATTTAAAATGCAGCATAAACTGCTCCAAGGAATAGATTTAAATTTACCAAATTGAAAGTTAACCGCTCACTCCAAAATACTTTTTAAAAATAGTTACAAACGTCAGTCTAAATGATTAAAACTAAGTAGTTTTCTGACCATTACTCATCTCGCGAGCTCAGTTGTAATTGGTAAGTGGCTGGTTTGGGTTCTGAATCCTGTGGATTTGTGGTTTAAAAGGAACTACCATTCATCTCTACAAAATGTAATTTTCATGTTGCACCCCCCCTATCCCCAAGTAATGTGTGTGCATTCAAATTTTTTAAAAATCTGGGTGCCCGTAACTAATTGCAGGAGGAGCAAACAATGTAGACCCCTCCCCATTCTCCTCACATCCCAAATCCTGCCCCTCAAGCATTTTATAACTTCTCAGCAAGCTGATCTCCCCTTCCTTTTTTGTCTTTCACTGACGCTGTCAACATTCTGTCCATTCAGGCCATCTTTAATTCCTTTCTGGCTTTTTTTTAAGGTTCTCCTTCTTTTGGTTAATTTACAACATATTTTTCTCTGTACCTCGTGGGGCAGTAGAAACCCTAACCTTGAGTCCAAGTGGCCTATTGTTATGGCTTTCATCCCCCACGTAAGGGCCAGCTGATTTAGTATTAGACGTGGCAATGGTGTATCTGTGTTCACTATTCCATGCTTAATTGTACCAATGATAACACTTTCCACATTGACACGGCATGCAAATTTACTAATAAAGTGATAAACTTCTCAACACACTTGTGAGCAAGCTCCAGGTAAAGGTAAAGGTTCCCTTGCTCGAAAGCCAGTCGAATCCGCCTCTAGGGTTGCGGTGCTCATCTCTGTTTCAAAGCCGAAGAGCCAGCGCTGTCCGAAGATGTTTCCGTGGTCGTGGCCGGCATGACTAAACACCAAGGTGCGCGGAACACTGTTACCTTCCCACCGAAGTGGTACCTATTTATCTGTTTGCAATTTCTTACTTTCGAACTGCTAGGTTGGCAGGAGCTGGAACTAGAGACGGGAGCTCACTCCGTCATGCGGCACACTTGGGTCTCGAACTGCTGAACTACCGACCTTCCACAGCCTTCAGTTCAGCGTCTTAACCACTTGAGCCACAGCAGCTGAATATATAATAATATATTATATATATTATAATATAATATATTATAATAATATAATAAACATATTCTTGTGAATTTAAGAGGCAACACAAGTCAGCCATGAATTAGACGGTTGACCTATCTGAGTGCGGTAATGCTCCCAGTTTCTTTCCTGTGTTGATTAATAAAAAGGTTGCATGTGTATGCGTGCTTTGTGTTTTGCTGTATAGTTAGGTATGACCATTCTTTGTGTTTCAGAGTCTAGAATGGCCATTACAGATACAGAAGATATTGGACAAATGTCAGTTACAGCACAGAAAAGAAGCCAGTTGTTAGAATGACTATGCAGTTTAAGAATTTAAGGTGAACAACGACAGACCAGCTGCCTAGACAAATTTGAGATGGCTTAAAATGCCCATCTTTAAATACAAATTCTATTTCACCTTTTTTAATTCTCAAGTTCTTACATTATACTGTAGTCACACTTTCAAATGTTTGGAACTTTTCTGATTTTTGTGGTCAGTTGTGCCATTTTATTGAGAGCCAGGTTCTTACTGCCCCAAACTTAGTCCGACGCACTAACTTCTAAACCACACTGACT